CAGGCGAACGTAAGTTTTGTAAACAAACGAAGTGTACACGTCTGGTTTGTGTACAAGTTACATTGTGTACAGGTTGTCTCTACATTGATACGGTAGAATTAATAAAGAAGAACACTCCCATTCTCATGTAACATCATTTTGAGAAGAAATGAAGCTCTGAGTGAAGGCAATGGAAATAAGTCACTCTGACTTTTTTGGGTTATCCTAGGTTCTCTACACATATGTTGTTATGTATGATAATCTATGTAACTGTATTTGTGTATACCTGAATAAACTTACTTACATACATACGAAAGGAATAATTTTCTACAGTTACCCCCAGTAACACATTTTCTCTTATGTTAGATTAGAGAAAATGTTATTCTTGCCGTCACTTGTACAAGTTATGTGGCTCCCACATCTTATATTTATGTTTATTTATTCTATTGTGGGGTGTATTTATCATCTTTTTATGTTATGTATCGTGTTTATTATATAATTTTGAAAAAATATCATAGATGGATTAATGAAAATGTGTATATTACGTAATATACGACATTTAATGAGACTCGGTGAGTATTGTTATTATTATTATTATTATTATCATTTCTAATATGGCGTCACTTGTGCAAGGCGTCTGCTACCACATCTCACATTTATGTTTATTTATTCTACTGTGGGGTGTATTTATCTTATTTATATGTTATGCATCGTGTTTATTATATAATTTTGAAAAAATATCATAGATGGATTAATGAAAATGTGTATATTAACGTAATATACGACATTTAAATGACTCGATGATTATTATTATCATTACTAATATGACGTCTGGAGACTTAAGACACTTACCAATTTTAATGTGTACCTGCATGCCAGCACAGTATGTAAGTTTATTTAGGTACAGGTATACATAAGTATATTTATCAGAGTATATAAAATATGAAATAACTTTTAAAAACATTTGAAATTTTGGAGTTTCCAGACAAAATGGAGAGACTTAGTGCTTACTGAGCTCATGGAGAATGTAAACAAACAGGGTGGGGCACGGTGACCATATTAGAAAGTCAGGTGGGGGGAGCCGTATAGCGAGTTTTGGTCATAATTTGAAATGTCCGTATTAGCGGAACGCCGTAAAGTGAAACGCCGTAAAGCGGGGCCTTCATGTATATATATATAAATATAAAACTTGGGTGTCTGGTGTTGGTGACACTGCGTGTTTTTGAAATCGTGGCCGTTGCTGATGATGGGGGGAGGGGTCGCAGGTGTTGGTGACAACCCACCGGCTTGTTCTTCACGGATTTTATAGCCGTCAATAATCCGTCTAGATGACAGGAAAGCAGGTTCTTTACCACTGCAGTGATGAGGGGTTATATCCTGCTACTTGCATACACAAACAGGTAAGTGGATCAAAAATGGGACGTCCCAGAACGTTAGTCCGTCTCCTTCAATTCTACTTGTTGGTTGGCAGGTGACCCATTCTGTCATTTCAAGCTGGAAAGAGAGACAGGTTACCTACTGCTTAAGAAATCACTCTCCTTGATAAGTACAATACCTAAAAGACGTGGTGATTATTAAGACATTTAACAGAGCAAGACTGAAAGGACTAAGTTTATTAATGGTCAAAAGTGAAGCTTTCAACCAATAAATCCACTAGAATGTGAACAGGCATGTACTTACAGTAGTGCTGGGAGCTGTGAGTCGAGTGATTACTGTTTGGCTGGAGCCCCACACGTCACCTTTCGGGGGGGGAAGAGGGAGGGGAAGGGATAGCGGGAGCTAGACTGACCCTACCTTAACAAGCAGCCGGCAATCAAACTATCACTTTCGGGGAGGGGGAAAAAGGGGGAGGAATAGCGGGAGCTGGACTTACCCTACCTTAACAAGTAGCCGGCAATGAAACTATTGTTACTATATACTCCCTCACTATTCCTACCTTTTGAACTTTTCCCTAACAGCGACCAAATTCTCACTACAGGCAGCACACTCCACCAATATTCAATTCACTAAACCTACTCACCATACAAAACATCCATACTTATTACTGCACCTATTACATACATAGAACACTTAACTCTGATATTAACCCTCCCCTAAAACATCTCCTTGCCAACCTCAACAGAACACATGACCATAACACAAGGCACAGATCACTCTTTGATGTTCCTCGTGTCCATCTCACACTATGCAAAAACTCAATGCACATAAAAGGCCCTAAAATCTGGAATTCATTACCTGTAAATATAAAAGAAACACTACCTGTTTATAAATTCAAGTCTCTTCTCAAAGATCACTTACTCACCCAAAACTAAATAAATACTGAATAACTGAACCTTATAAATTGTATATCTAAAATGTTTCTCACAATTATATCACATAAATGTTAAACCTAAAACCGAATCTAACTTTATTATTTTTTAAATACGCTACCTAACAGAATCCTTCATATGACTGAATGCAACCATATGACATGTCTTTGTAATACTCACTTGTGCTTTATAGTAATCTGTTTACATTAATGTTTTATCACTGATTTCATCATTGCTTAGTTAATCTTAAGTTAATTTTAAGCCAGCCCGTAATGCTATGCATAGTATAAGTGGCTTTGGCATGCTGCTCTTATCTGTATTTTTTTGTACCTCTGTATGTGTGCTCAAATTGGTAATAAATAAATAAATAAATAAATAAAAAAATAAAAAAAGTTACGTGCTATGCGCCCGAAGGGTAACTATAGAAGATCATTCTTATTCTATGCATAGACTGAAAAAAGTGTGATTTTCTCAAAAAAAAAAAAAAAATCCCAAGTACATGTAGTCAGGTATGCACGCATTTACTGGAATATCTCAGAAGTAAGTCATTGACTTATCTTATGTTGTATTACCATTAATAATAAATGGATTGAAAGGAATTTCCCAGCAAACATAAAACTGAATGTTTTAATTTTGGGTGGTGACACTTTTGAAGTGTCAGTATAGGGTGATTCCTCAATTTGCTATTAATATGTTTACCGACGTTGTCTTTGGCCCCTAACTCCGTCATTAAGTGAGGAGAGTCTCTATTCTTTTGAGAGTTATTTACTGTAGGTTTACAGTGTTTGTCGCAATGGTAAGGCATTTTTAAGGAATGACTTCTAGTTTATGTAAAAAAACCGGGTTACGTCACGGCTCGTGGAACCAATTAACCCTTTGACTGTTTCAGGCCCCTCTCTGAAACTGTCATTCTATGTCGCTCAATTTTTGAAAAAAAAAAATTATTTTTTCTTATGAAATGATAGAGAATCTTTTCCCGATGGTAATGACACCAAAAGTTCGAAATTTGGTCGAAAACTCGTGGAATTATGCTCCCGCGAAGTTAGCGGTCTCGGCGACATATGCGTATCGGCGATTTCGCCGACTTTGAGCCCAATTTTCAGCCAATTCCATTGTTCCAGTTGACCAAACTCATAGCTATTTCTTTAGAACTCCATTTTATCTATCAGCTGAGTACAAGAAACCTCCCATTTACTAAATTGGACTACCCAGTATGGTGATCAGAAATTGGCAATTTGGCCAATTTCACGCAAAATAAAAAAGATGCCAATTTCAAAATAGGGTCCAGAATAAACAAGGTAGACATTCGTGGCACTAAAATAACATATGCTCTGTTCATTAGTCACATCTCTAGCCCCCTCTTATATTATTATTGCTTTCTATTTTTATTTTTTATTCATACAAAAAAAATACAAAATTTACTGTTATACAGACGACTGCATTATTGTAAAAATGGTATAAATAATATCAGTGCACTAGTGAAAGAATATTAGACTCCCAGTTGACGTGTATTGGACGTGTGGTGTGATTTATTTACTCTTGAACATTGGTAAAAATCGAACATTTCCGCTACTTTGAGCTCAGTTTCAACGTCGTTTTCATCGTAAAAGTAACGAAAATCATCTCCATTTCTGTAACATGTTTTCCATTTTATCACCTAAGACCATGAAAACGCGAATACAACGATAAATACTATACGAAAATACACCTCAAAGTCGGCGTTTTATTCCAAAAAAACGATCAGAGTTTTTTTTTTCTCATTACGCAATGTGTGCTGCAGGATTTTTTTTATGTGGTGCACACTGACCACACAGACCCATTCTCTCACATGTGGGCCTACCAGCTTTCTCCCACTTGATTTGAAGCCGCTAGAATTATTGAGTATATATACGTCAGAAACATTGGCTCGTAAGACGTATTTATACGTCGAAAACAGTCAAAGGGTTAATGACGTAGGGCGGGGTATGACTGTACCATGACTTATCATGAAACAGTGCTGTAATACATGCTTTGGGCCTTATGGACTTCTGTATCAAGAACTTCAGAGTCAAATCAAACTAGCAACATTTGAGTTCTCCTCTGCATCAGCCAACTGATGAAATTGCAGCATCACATGATCCCCAATCTTCAACCTCACATGATCCTGAATATTCAACATCACAAGATCCCCTACATTTGACTTTGGTCCATTAGGACCACAGCAGTCCTCACCATTCCAAGATGTTAAGCACCCCAAACTTGACTTGCAGTGTGTAGCAAATAATAATGTACAATATTAATGTAATGATTTTTTAGCTGTGTGAACCTCATTTGAGTTCAGATATTTTACAGAATGCTCATTGATAAAATTACATGGAATTATGATGATAAAAATATTTACTTGAATTTTTTTTTTTTTTGAGGTCTTAGGAATGCAAACCCTATTTTTCCCATATGTTTTTCAATCCATAAGTCACAGAAATCATTGGTAGCTCAATTATCATGAACATAACCATGCGTATTTTGAATGTCCACTGTGTAAGTTGGAAACCTCTACTTTGGTTATTAATTAATAGTGCTGTAATCAATTCTGTTTTACTCTGGGAAACTGTATTTATTAATTCACGACTAAATCACTTTTTGAAAGATACACCAATCATGTAGTGTTTGGTACTTATTTATAGAATTCCTCTAGTTATTTATACTGTAATTTAAATGGTATCTTTCACACAGGCACTGTATGAAAATTTACTAGTGGAAGTCCCATTAGCGGGATACTTTGTGTCCAAGCTTTTGGGACGATCATCATCATCAGTTGAGTTCCATCATCTGGACTCCCTTGACCCCGAGCTTTGTCGTAACTTGCTATACCTCAAGACCTACCAGGGAGATGTACAGGATCTGGGCTTGGATTTTACAGTTCTCAACTCTGATCTTGGCCAGAACACTGTAAGTGCTTTATATTAGTGCATTATAAATATACAGTACAGGCACTCCTGACTTAATGACCAAGTTCCGTTCTTATGACCAGGTCGTTCAGCAAATTGGTTGATATTTCAGGCATACTGTACTGATAGTGGGTTTGTGTCAACCATCTTTAGATATTGTTTTAATGTCACCTTTGCACCATTTATAACAATTTTAGTATATTGTTAAATGTTTATCCAGTGGTGTACTGTATACTGTAATAAAAGAATAGAAGAAATCAGCTCTAATATACATTACTTAGGTTTGCATACTGTGAGTACAGGTCAGAGCTGGTCATAAGTCCGTGCGGTCATTCAACAGGTAGGTTGTCAAGTGAGAAGTGTCTGCAATTCATATTATTATTATTATTGTTATAATAATAATTATTATTAGTAGTAGTATGTATGTAGTGATGGGCTCTTGATCTAGGGAATTGGATCTGTGCTCCAGTTCCCTAAATTAATAATAATAATAAGAATAATTATAATACATATGTAATAATAATAATAACTATAATAATACATACATACTAAGAATAATAATAATAATTATAACAATAATAATAATATAATAATAATAATAATACAATATAATAGTAATAATAATAACTATGTTGTCATTTTTAGACATTTTTCGTAATTTTTTTCATATTTTTGTGTCAAATGCTTCAAAATACAAATTGGTAACCCACTGGGTGGCTGTAGGCACTGCTAGACCACAGCTATCTCAGTGTCAACCAAGGGTCAAAAGGAAGAGGAGGTGTGCCGCTCTGAGTGACCGCGGCAGACCCTTGGGATGCGTAATTTTGTCTTATACAGTGGACCCCCGGTTAACGATATTTTTTCACTCCAGAAGTATGTTCAGGTGCCAGTACTGACCGAATTTGTTCCCATAAGAAATATTGTGAAGTAGATTAGTCCATTTCAGACCCCCGAACATACACATACAAACGCACTTACATAAATACACTTACATAATTGGTTGCATTCAGAGGTAATCGTTATGCGGGGGTCCACTGTATTGTACAAATTTCTTACACAATGCCTCGCCCAAAGAGACAGTATTTGCGTACAATCAGCAAGAAGCTCAGGAAGCGATTAGAAACTATGAAAAAAGCTAGAGAAACGAAAAAGGCAGCAGCATAGAGTGAGGCAGGTGGCCGCCGTGGCCACCACCACCACCACCGCCACTGCCATGGCCACAGTGATCGTGTCTTCACTTATATACTATACATCTGTCTTGACCACACCTGTGGTTACATCCCGTATATCATATACAAAGCTTAATTCAATCATGAGAAATGGCCTAAAACAAGAAAGTCGATTCTAGATTTGCTCCAGTGAGATGGAAAGCTTGTCGGGCATAAGAGAGGTACTGAAAAGTGAAAACCTAGAAAGCGTAAGAAAGTTCCTAAGGAGCTTGTCAGATATATACAAAAAGTGGAAAACAAGGGACAAGGAGCAGGAAAAGGAGGAAAACACAAATAAAGGTAAAAACCAAGGAGTGGAAAAAAGAGTGGAGAATATCATTCAGAGCAAGTCAGAAAAGAACAAAACATGGGTACATAACATAGAGAAAAGGGAAAGGGAGGAAGAGAAAGCTAGAGCAGGAACAAATGAAAATAAAAAAAGGGAAGAAATACACCTAGATGAAAGAAAACAAGAGAATTCAGATCAAGTGGCAGAAGTTGGGAAAGACACAAAATCAGTAAATATAGGCAGTCAGAACATTTGCAGATACTATGCAAAAGGTATGTGCCTATATGGCAGAGCTTGCTGGAATAAACACAACAGAAAATGTGCGAACATGTTGAGAAAGGGAAAGTGTTGCTTTGACAAAGAGTGCAGGTACTTCCATCCAGTGATTTGCAAACCTTCAACACAATCCAGAGAATGTTATGACCTGAGCTGCCCAGCCATCATGCAAAAGGAACGCGGCACTACAGGGAAAGCAGAGAAAGGGAAAATGAGCAGCAATCTTTTTTCGACATAAAGAGAAATGATCGGACCAAAGAAAGAGACAAAAAGGGGGAATGGGACAGATGGGCAGCACAATGGGACATAACAAACCAGGCATCAGCCCATCAGGGCCGAATAAACAGTCAGATGCAAAGTCAGTACTGGAGAAACCAGTAATCCACTAATCTAAGTAGGTCTTCTTTGGACGAAGACCTACTTAGATTAGTGGATGGTTCTACTATGGCCCTGCCTCCTCCTGCTTCACCTCACGTGACTACAGTATATATGCCACTGCTACGGCCCTGTGCTGTACTTTCTACAAGATTGATGGACTGAACACATCGACTCCAGGCTGAGGGACTGATTACCTCAAACTCCTCCTCTCCTTATACCTTCCTGCTTCGTATAAGACTGATGAAGCCACTGTGTGGCGAAACGTTGCTTCAGTAAAGATTCCCATATGTTGCATAAATGTCTCAATGAGTCTAATATGCATTCACGAATGTACTGATATTATTTATACAATTATTACAATTATGCAGTAGTCTGAATAACAATAAATCTATTTTTTGTGTGAATAAAAATTCAAAATTTAAAGCAAACGTAATACAAGAGAGGCTTGAAGATGTGACTAATGAACAGAAAAAGTGATATTTTAGTGCCAGGAATGTCTGCATTGTTTATTCTGGACCCTATTTTGAAACTAGCCTTTCTTGATTTGTGTGTGAAATTGGCAAAATTAGTAATTTTTGATCACTTTATTTTGTAGTTGAAATAGGTAAATGGGCTGTTTCTTGTACTCAGTAGAATAGAAGGAGTTATAGCAAAGTAGCTGTGAGTCTGGTTGACTGGAACAAAATAATTGGCCCAAAATAGGGCTCAAAGTAGGTGAAATGGCCAATGTGTAAATATTGCCGAGACCGCTAACTTTGTGAGTGTAATTCCCTAAATTTTCCATCAAATTTCATACCTTTGGTTTCATTACCTTTGCAAAAAGATTCTGTCATTTCATACTTTTTTTTTTTTTTAACCCTTTCAGGGTCCATCCCGTAGATCTACGGCTTTACGTTCAGGGTCCAAACCGTAGATCTACGCCATGAGCTCAGCTCACTCTGATAAACTGTGAGTGGTACATTTGGGCCTAGATATGAGAGAATACATCTATGTGGTATGTGTGCACCACATAAAACAGATCCTGCAGCACACTGTGTATAATGAGAGAAAAAAAATGAAATCATGATTTTTCGATTAAAACAGCAACTTTGCAGTGTTTTTTTGTATGTTTTTTATAGTTGTATTTGCGATTTCTTGGTCTCATTTGATAGAATGGAAGACATATTACAGAAATAGAGATGATTTTGATTGGTTTTAGCACTGGAAATGTCTTGAAACTGAGCTCAAAGTAGCAGAAATGTTAAATTTTTGCCGATATTCAAGAGTAAACAAACGACCTCACACGTCTAATACACGTCAGCTGGTGGGTCTAATATACATTCACAAATATGGTGATGATATTTATACAATTATTACAGTATTGCATAACAGTAAATCTTCTATTTTTTGGTGTGTGAATAAAAATTCATTATGTGAATAAAAAATCAAAATGGAATTTATTTGTAAAGCCTCAAAACATAACTAATGAACAGAGGAAATGTTAGTTTAGTGCCAGGAATGCCTACATTGTTCATTCTGGACCCTATTTTGAAATTGGAATATTTTGAACTTTGTGTTAAATTTGCCAAATTAACAATTTCCGATCACTTTATTTTGTAGTTGAAAACAGTTGACTTGGCGATTTCTTGTGCTCAATCAATAGAATAGAAGTAATACTAGTGAAATAGCTAAGAATTTGGTTGATTGGAATAATGTAATTGGCCTAAAATGGGAGTCAAAGTCGGCAAAATCGCCGATTCGTAAATATCGCTGACACATCAAAATTCGCGAGAGCATAATTTCGTCAATTTTCCACCAAATTTCGTACTTTTTGTTTTATTACCTTCACAAAAAGATTCTCTACGATTTCATAAGAAAAAATAACAAATTTTTTTTTTGAAAATTCTTGGACACTGGTGCATGACTCCAGGTTTGGACCTTGGACCCTGAAAGGGTTAAGTCTTCAACCCTGGGAGCAAGTTCGCGAGCAGGGGTCTCAACACTCAAAGGGTTAATACAGAAGGGCCCTGCTTTACAGCCCTTCGCTTTACAGCTTTTTCTCTAATGCAGCAGTTTTCAGTTATACCCATTCTTCATTTACTCAGACTTTCTACAACAAATATATTCACCACTCGCTATAAGCTAAGGATGAAAATATTTTAAGGTACGCAATGTGTGTACTGTACTGTATATGCATTTTTTAGGCCTAGCTCTATTACTCAATATATGATAGTGAAAACATGTTATCAGGCTTTTATATTCATTTGATAATGATTTTTGCTTTACAGCAGTAGCCCAAACCTAACCTGCTGTATTAGTGGGATTCTTCCGTATTTTTTATTCTGAAACGGTAGAGAATCTTTTTCTGAAGGTAATGACACCAAAAGTATGAAAATTAATGGAAAACTTAAGGAACTGTATAGGTGCAAAATTAGCTATCTGGGCACAGTTTTCACATCAATGACTTCACCGAATTTGAGTTCTATTTTAAGTCAATTCCATTACTCCCTTCGACCAAATTCTTAGCTATTTCTCTAGTATCCCTTGTGTTCTATCGATTCGCACAAGAAACTGTTCATTCATTTATTACAACTATCCTATAAAGTGCGCAGAAGTTGGTAATCTGGCCAATTTTACACAAATTTAAAAAATACCATTTTAACCCTTTCAGGGTTTTTGATGTACTAGTACGTCTTACGCACCAGTGTTGGTGACTTACTAGTACGCGTAAATTCTAGCTCCCTCACATCAAGCAGGAAAAGGCTGGTACCTAGATGTGAAAGAATGGGTCTGCATAGTCAGTGTGTGCAGTATAAAAAAAAAATCCTGCAGCACACAGTACATAATGAGGAAAAAAAAGCTACGGCCAAGTTTTAAACAGCGACTTTGCAGTCTATTTTCGTATGGTATTTATGGTTGTATTCTCAGTTTTCTTGGTCTCATTTGATAGAATGGAAGATATATTACAGAAATAACGACAATTTTGATTGGTTTCATGATGATAAGTACCTTGAAATTGAGTGCAAAGTAGTGAAAATGTTCAATTTTTGCTGATGTTCAAGAGTAAATAAATCATGCCACGTGTCCAATACACATCAACTGGTGAGTCTAATATTCTTGCACAAGTGCACTGATATTTATGCCATTTTTACAGTGATGCAGTAGTATACATAACAGTAAATCTTCTATTTTTTGTGAGAATAAAAATTGGAAATGGAAAGCAAAAGTAACATAAGAGGGGCCTGGAGGCAGGACTAATGAACAGATAAAATGTTATTTTAGTGCCAGGAATGTCTCTCTTGTTTATTCTGGACCCAATTTTGAAATTGGCATCTTCTGAAATTTGTATGAAATTGGCCAAATTGCCAATTTCTCTGACCACTTTATTGGGTAGTTGAAATCGATAAATAGGCAGTTTCTTATACTCAGTTGATAGAACAAATGGAATTCTAGTGAAATAGCTGTGATTTTAGTAGACTGAATCGGCGAAATATTTATGAATCCGCGAAATTGCCGATTCATAAATATTGTCGAGACTGCAAACTTTGTGAGGGCATAATTCCGCAAGTTTTCCATCAAATTTCATACTTTTTGTGTCACTGTGATTGGAAAAATATTCTCAATCATTTCATAAGAAACACCTTTTTTTTTTTTTTTTTTTTCCGACAGTGAGTTAAAGATCGGGGGTCTCGACCCTGAAAGGGTTAAAATTAGAGTTCAAAATAAATAATGTTGACGTTCTTGGTGCTAAAACATTTCCTCTGTTCATTTATCATGTCCCCAAGCCTCTCCTATATTACACTTACCTTCCATTTTGAATTCATTATCACATGAGAATAGGTGATTTATTCTATTTCCCAGATAATAAAATATAACCTGGAATGATTGGTCATGATTTCTGGTGCCCCAATAATTGAATCAGACCTAGTAAAAACCTAGTCCTCATAGCAATTACATGCAGCTATTGGATGCATACAGATGTATAATTTTTACTCTTTTTTACAGATAGAAGAATTAATTCCAAATGGTTCTAATATAGCAGTCACAAATGAAAACCGAATTGAATACATCTATCGAATGGCCGACTACAAGCTTAACAAGCAAATTGCAAAGCAGAGTCAAGCTTTTAAGAAAGGTATCATTATGCAGTGTTGTATTTTATATGTTCACTACACTTTGATGTTTTCGTAGTTGCCACTTCACTTCAGTTGCTACGTCACTTCTCGTTATGTATTATGCGAGTGTCTTGCACAGTATTTTGGCTTCTCTTTATGTTCTTGATGATAGTTCATCTTGACACGATGCCTTTACTATGTCAAGTTCTATCAAGAGTTTCATTACTTTGTTAATACACTAGTCGTGGCAACACTAGATATTTCTATCTCCTTTGTCTTCTCTTCTAGTTCTTGTACTTACCCATATTCTTCTTCTGTTGAGCTCATAGCATGCCTCTCTCTGTTTTCCCTTCTTTTCCACCAGGTAGCTAAATGTCAACACCCACTGATCATGTGCCGTTAGGCCTTCATCATTTTCACAACTCAAAAGGGACTATTTGATAATTTTAAGATCCCTATCATTGAGCATGAAATAAATTATGATGCCTCTAGCCAGTAACAGAAGTCTGTCTTCCTCAGGGACCCAATCAAAGACTTAACTTTTTCTTGTGATAGATGAGGAGGCGAAATGTGAAGCAGTGTATCATTCCTACTTATGAGTGATTGGAAACCAATTACTTGTAATACAAATAATGACTGTTTGGACTCTCAAGTATTATAAAAAAAATTATGAAACTTATTGCAAACATTGTAAAAGTAAAAGGTCTTAGAAAGAGCCATTCAATAACATACTAGAAACACATCCAAATTTCGATGATGGAATTCTAAAGGGTTAATGGCATTCATATTCTATTCTCACTGGATGTGAATACAAGGTTCAGCCTTGCTTGTTCATCAACTTCTTATTACAATTTTGTGAGTCATTACCTCTTAATTTGTTGGCTTTTTAACATCTTGCTTGAATGTCTAAATTATAAATTCAAGCCATTTACTCTCTCTCTCATTTTTATAGACTTCTCCATGTGAGTCCAGTTCTTCTGGATTATCTCTTCATGACTGAAATCTCCTACTATCATTATTTTAGCCCTTATCCTGTTTGCTGCTTCTGATATTTTTCAGCGATTCTTGTTGCTGTATTGTTCTTGTCGTATTCTTGTTCGGGACTTGGGTTTATTTTGTGGTGGGTTGTAAAGTAGATGACAGCAACAAATATTTTGGAAATTTGTGTAATAACAAAACTAAGTAGGTTATCTGAGAATTCATTTTTGCCCATAATTAACATTAATTCATATCTCATTCAGTTGTTGATTACTCTGTTACTTCCCTTCATTCTTTTAATTCCTTTATCCTCATGCAATATTCCCTGGGAAAAATTGCATCATAAATCATACCAGTTGGCTTGGATTCCATAACTGCACTGTGAGCTGGTATTATTTTCCTCCTCTATTTAATTCCTTTTTTTTTTTTTTTTTTTTTAAGGAATCCATCTATGTTTGTATGCATTTCTTTGTTTTTGTTTTTTATTCAAACCCCTGTTTGTAAATCTGTATCAAACAAAGCATTGAGAAGTTTAAACTTATCTTGCTGAGGCACCTGTAGTCTGAACATGATCATTTGTTGAAGTTGTTTGCAAATATTATATCAAAGAAGATTGTAAGTAGGTTGGTAGACAGCAACCACCCAGGGAAGTACTACCGTCCTGCCAGATGACTGTGAAACAAAAACCTGTAACTGTTTTGCATGATGGTAGGATTGCTGGTTTCTTTTTCTGTCTCATAAACACGCTAAGATAACAGGGATATCTTGCTACTCCTACTTACACTTTGGTCACACTTCACAGACACGCACATGCATATATATATATACATACATCTAGGTTTTCTCCTTTTTCTAAATAGCTCTTGTTCTTTTTTATTTCTTCTATTGTCCATGGGGAAGTGGAAAAGAATCTTTCCTCCGTAAGCCATGCGTGTCGTATGAGGCGACTAAAATGCCGGGAGCAATGGGCTAGTAACCCCTTCTCCTGTATACAATTACTAAAAAAGAGAAGAAGAAAAACTTTATAAAACTGGGTTGCTTAAATGTGCGTGGATGTAGTGCAGATGACAAGAAACAGATGATTGCTGATGTTATGAATGAAAAGAAGTTGGATGTCCTGGCCCTAAGCGAAACAAAGCTGAAGGGGGTAGGAGAGTTTCAGTGGGGGGAAATAAATGGGATTAAATCTGGAGTATCTGAGAGAGTTAGAGCAAAGGAAGGGGTAGCAGTAATGTTAAATGATCAGTTATGGAAGGAGAAAAGAGAATATGAATGTGTAAATTCAAGAATTATGTGGATTAAAGTAAAGGTTGGATGCGAGAAGTGGGTCATAATAAGCGTGTATGCACCTGGAGAAGAGAGGAATGCAGAGGAGAGAGAGAGATTTTGGGAGATGTTAAGTGAATGTATAGGAGCCTTTGAACCAAGTGAGAGAGTAATTGTGGTAGGGGACTTGAATGCTAAAGTAGGAGAAACTTTTAGAGAGGGTGTGGTAGGTAAGTTTGGGGTGCCAGGTGTAAATGATAATGGGAGCCCTTTGATTGAACTTTGTATAGAAAGGGGTTTAGTTATAGGTAATACATATTTTAAGAAAAAGAGGATAAATAAGTATACACGATATGATGTAGGGCGAAATGACAGTAGTTTGTTGGATTATGTATTGGTAGATAAAAGACTGTTGAGTAGACTTCAGGATGTACATGTTTATAGAGGGGCCACAGATATATCAGATCACTTTCTAGTTGTAGCTACACTGAGAGTAAAAGGTAGATGGGATACAAGGAGAATAGAAGCATCAGGGAAGAGAGAGGTGAAGGTTTATAAACTAAAAGAGGAGGCAGTTAGGGTAAGATATAAACAGCTATTGGAGGATAGATGGGCTAATGAGAGCATAGGCAATGGGGTCGAAGAGGTATGGGGTAGGTTTAAAAATGTAGTGTTAGAGTGTTCAGCAGAAGTTTGTGGTTACAGGAAAGTGGGTGCAGGAGGGAAGAGGAGCGATTGGTGGAATGATGATGTGAAGAGAGTAGTAAGGGAGAAAAAGTTAGCATATGAGAAGTTTTTACAAAGTAGAAGTGATGCAAGGAGGGAAGAGTATATATGGAGAAAAAGAGAGAAGTTAAGAGAGTGGTGAAGCAATGTAAAAAGAGAGCAAATGAGAGAGTGGGTGAGATGTTATCAACAAATTTTGTTGAAAATAAGAAAAAGTTTTGGAGTGAGATTAACAAGTTAAGAAAGCCTAGAGAACAAGTGGATTTGTCAGTTAAAAATAGGAGAGGAGAGTTATTAAATGGAGAGTTAGAGGTATTGGGAAGATGGAAGGAATATTTTGAGGAATTGTTAAATGTTGATGAAGATAGGGAAGCTGTGATTTCGTGTATAGGGCAAGGAGGAATAACATCTTGTAGGAGTGAGGAAGAGCCAGTTGTGAGTGTGGGGGAAGTTCGTGAGGCAGTAGGTAAAATGAAAGGGGGTAAGGCAGCCGGGATTGATGGGATAAAGATAGAAATGTTAAAAGCAGGTGGGGATATAGTTTTGGAGTGGTTGGTGCAATTATTTATAAATGTATGGAAGAGGGTAAGGTACCTAGGGATTGGCAGAGAGCATGCATAGTTCCTTTGTATAAAGGCAAAGGGGATAAAAGAGAGTGCAAAAATTATAGGGGGATAAGTCTGTTGAGTGTACCTGGTAAAGTGTATGGTAGAGTTATAATTGAAAGAATTAAGAGTAAGACGGAGAATAGGATAGCAGATGAACAAGGAGGCTTTAGGAAAGGTAGGGGGTGTGTGGACCAGGTGTTTACAGTGAAACATATAAGTGAACAGTATTTAGATAAGGCTAAAGAGGTCTTTGTGGCATTTATGGATTTGGAAAAGGCGTATGACAGGGTGGATAGGGGGGCAATGTGGCAGATGTTGCAAGTGTATGGTGTAGGAGGTAGGTTACTGAAAGCAGTGAAGAGTTTTTACGAGGATAGTGAGGCTCAAGTTAGAGTATGTAGGAAAGAGGGAAATTTTTCCCAGTAAAAGTAGGCCTTAGACAAGGATGTGTGATGTCACCGTGGTTGTTTAATATATTTATAGATGGGGTTGTAAGAGAAGTAAATGCGAGGGTCTTGGCAAGAGGCGTGGAGTTAAAAGATAAAGAATCACACACAAAGTGGGAGTTGTCACAGCTGCTCTTTGCTGATGACACTGTGCTCTTGGGAGATTCTGAAGAGAAGTTGCAGAGATTGGTGGATGAATTTGGTAGGGTGTGCAAAAGAAGAAAATTAAAGGTGAATACAGGAAAGAGTAAGGTTATGAGGATAACAAAAAGATTAGGTGATGAAAGATTGAATATCAGATTGGAGGGAGAGAGTATGGAGGAGGTGAACGTATTCAGATATTTGGGAGTGGACGTGTCAGCGGATGGGTCTATGAAAGATGAGGTGAATCATAGAATTGATGAGGGAAAAAGAGTGAGTGGTGCACTTAGGAGTCTGTGGAGACAAAGAACTTTGTCCTTGGAGGCAAGAGGGGAATGTATGAGAGTATAGTTTTACCAACGCTCTTATATGGGTGTGAAGCGTGGGTGATGAATGTTGCAGCGAGGAGAAGGCTGGAGGCAGTGGAGATGTCATGTCTGAGGGCAATGTGTGGTGTGAATATAATGCAGAGAATTCGTAGTTTGGAAGTTAGGAGGAGGTGCGGGATTACCAAAACTGTTGTCCAGAGGGCTGAGGAAGGGTTGTTGAGGTGGTTCGGACATGTAGAGAGAATGGAGCGAAACAGAATGACTTCAAGAGTGTATCAGTCTGTAGTGGAAGGAAGGCGGGGTAGGGGTCGGCCTAGGAAGGGTTGGAGGGAGGGGGTAAGGAGGTTTTGTGTGCGAGGGGCTTGGACTTCCAGCAGGCATGCGTGAGCGTGTTTGATAGGAGTGAATGGAGACAAATGGTTTTTAATACTTGACGTGCTGTTGGAGTGTGAGCAAAGTAACATTTATGAAGGGATTCAGGGAAACCGGCAGGCCGGACTTGAGTCCTGGAGATGGGAAGTACAGTGCCTGCACTCTGAAGGAGGGGTGTTAATGTTGCAGTTTAAAAACTGTAGTGTAAAGCACCCTTCTGGCAAGACAGTGATGGAGTGAATGATGGTGAAAGTTTTTCTTTTTCGGGCCACCCTGCCTTGGTGGGAATCGGCCGGTGTGATAATAATAATAATAAAATCCAGATTTCAGATCATTTCAGAAAACTGTAATGCTGCTAATGTGATAAAACAATTATGTAAAAAAAGGAGTGTTCTCAGGATAGAAAAGTTTGAAAAAATATTTAAGTATAACTCAAAAAATCGTAATAACACAATTATAAATAAATTATATGGAACAAGTGGGGGCTCAAACCTATGGCAGGTGAGTCCAAAGATTCACAGGCCAGTGAACTTCAGGACTTGTCTACCATGGCAAGTGAGTCCTAAGGTTCACAGGCCAGTGAGCTTCAGGACTTGTCTACCATGGCAAGTGAGTCCTAAGGTTCACAGGCCAGTGAGCTTCAGGACTTGTCTACCATGGCAAGTGAGTCCTAAGGTTCACAGGCCAGTGAGCTTCAGGACTTGTCTACCATGGCAAGTGAGTCCTAAGGTTCACAGGCCAGTGAGCTTCAGGACTTGTCTACCATGGCAAGTGAGTCCTAAGGTTCACAGGCCTGTGAGCTTCAGGACTTGTCTACCATGGCAAGTGAGTCCTAAGGTTCACAGGCCAGTGAGCTTCAGGACTTGTCTACCATGGCAAGTGAGTCCTAAGGTTCACAGGCCAGTGAGCTTCAGGACTTGTCTACCATGGCAAGTGAGTCCTAAGGTTCACAGGCCAGTGAGCTTCAGGACTTGTCTACCATGGCAAGTGAGTCCTAAGGTTCACAGGCCAGTGAGCTTCAGGACTTGTCTACCATGGCAAGTGAGTCCTAAGGTTCACAGGCCAGTGAGCTTCAGGACTTGTCTACCATGGCAAGTGAGTCCTAAGGTTCACAGGCCAGTGAGCTTCAGGACTTGTCTACCATGGCAAGTGAGTCCTAAGGTTCACAGGCCAGTGAGCTTCAGGACTTGTCTACCATGGGCTTGAGCCCCACCCATTCTGTGATTTATAAAAGTAAAAATTAGTTAGCACTTAATGCATGTTTTTCACAGGAGTAGCAGATGTTGTACCTCTGGAGTGGCTGCAGATGTTTGACTGGAGGGAACTTCAAATGCTTATTTCTGGAGCCTCAGTTCCAATTGACCTGGAAGACCTCATGGATAATACCAGATATGGAGGTATGGAAAAAACAATATGGTAGATTGTCATAATTATTAGCTATACAATATTTTTGTTTTAAATATACAGTAAATCCTCAATAAAATAGACCTCCATAAAGCATATATTAGATAAAATGGACAAAAATTCTGGGCAGACAAAGGCTCAGCATGTCCGCTTAATGAGGTGTCCAGTGATGATAATGTAATGGGCTACATTCGCTGTGTTGTATGGCTGTCTGGTCCAGTTGAACCACCAATAAAGTGGACCATGTCTGCTTAATTGCAAGTTTGTTCAGCCCAGGCTTCATCCTGGACCTGTCCATTTTCACTGTTCCAATGTAAGAGGGGTCATTGGTTAAGATAGCATCAATTTGTTTTTACTTTTGCATTTGTGTATGCTTTCATACTCTCATCAACTTGTCTTGGGAGAAAAAAAAAATTAAACCAAACCAAACCAAACCAAACCAAACCAACCAACCAACCACTACAGCTACTATTACTACTACAAAAACTACTACTACTACAACAAAAACTACTACTACTACAAAAAACTACTACTACTACAACAAACACTACGACTACTACTACTACTGCTACAAAAACTACTACTACTGCTATAAAAACTACTACTACTACTACAACAAAAACTACAACTACTGCTACAAAAACTACTACTACTACAAAAACTACTACTGCTACTACAAAAACTACTACTGCTACAAAAACTACTACTACAACAAAAACTACTACTACAACAAAAACTACTACAGTGGTACCTCGAGTTTTGGCCGTAATCCGTTCCAGAAGCTCAGCTGAAACTCAAATTGTTCAAAAGTCAAAGCAATATTTTCCATAAGAAATAATGTAAATCCAATTAATCCATTCCAGACACCCAAAAATATTAACACTTTCAGGGTTGTTGCCGTACTAGTACAGCTTGCACACCAGGGTTGGTCCCGTACTAGTATGCATAAATTCTAGTGCCTTCAAATCTAGCAAGAGAAAGCTGGTAGGCCTACATATGAAAGAATGGGTCTATGTGGTCAGTGTGAGTAGTATAAAAAAACCTGCAATACACAATGCAAAATGAGAAAAAAAAACTCTGACCGTGTTTTTGGTTTAAAACAGCGACTTTGCAGTATATTTTCTTATGCTATTTATGGTTGTATTCTAGTTTCCTGGTCTCATTTTATAGAATGGAAAACATATTATGGAAATTGAGATGATTTTGATTGGTTTCACAATGAAAAGTACCTTGAAATTGAGCTCAAAGTAGCAGAAATGTTTGATTTTTGCCAAAGTTCAAAGGTAAACAAATCATGCCACACGTCCAATACACGTCAACTGGTGAGTCTAATGTTCTTTCACAAGTGCGCTGATGTTATTTATACCATTTCTACACCATTTCTACACGAATGCAGTAGTCTGCATAACATAAATCTTCTATTTTTTGTGAGAATAAAAATTCGAAGTGGAAAGCAAAAGAAATGTAACAGAGGCCTGGGGACGTGAGTAATGAACAGAGGAAATGTTATTTTAGTGCCAGGAATGTCTGTCTTGTTTATTCTGGGTCCTATTTGGAAATTGGCATCTTTTGAAACTTGTGTGAAATTGGCAAAATTGCCAATTTCTGACCACATTATTGGTTAGTTGAAATCGGTAAATTGGTGGTTTCTTGTACTCATTCGATAGACAAAATGGAGCTCTAGCGAAATAGGTATAATTTTTGTTGACTGGTACATTGGAATTGGCCGATAATAGGGCTCAAAGTGGGCGAAATTGCCGATGCGTAAATATCGTTGAGACCGCTAACTTCACGAGAGCATAATTCCGTAAATTTTCCATCAAATTTCATACTTTTGGTGTCATTATGATTGGGAAAAGATTCTCTATCATTTCATGAGAAAAAAATAATTATTTCTTCAAAAAAATTCTGACCCTGACAACAAGTTTAGAAGAGGGCCTGCCGACCCTGAAAGGGTTAAAAAAAAAATACATTTTTTAAACAATAACTATAGTTTTACAAACACAAAACAATTATAAATACATATAATACTTAACCCTTTCAGGGTCCAAGGCCAAAATCTGAAGGGGTGCCTCAGTGTCCAAGAAATTTTGAAAAAAAAAAAAAAAAAATCTTACAGAATTAAAGATAATATTTTTGTGAAGGTAGTAAAAGAAAAAAAATTCTGATCAGTACTTACCGAGATACAGTGGCGGGAAGTTGACCCAAAATGACCGGGTGGCGGCAACTCAGCGATTTCCCGCAAAAATTGATTTTTTTTTTTATTTTTTTTATACTTCTTTTTTTTTCTTTTCAAATTTTTTTTCTTTTTCTATAACATTTGTGGCCGTGAGCCCAGTAAATGTAATTGTATAAGTGTCACTCATTGTATTCAACACAAAAACTGCACAAATTTATTTATCATTAATTGCTTACAAAACTTGCTTATAAGTTTTGTAAACAAAATAAGAAAAATTAGTGCGGTTATTGTGTTAAATAAAATGTTCCTATAGTCCCTTTGGGTAAAAAATGGTCCCATAGAGTGCAAGGTACCAATGGTACAAGGGCACCTTGATCAATGAACCAATGGTAGAATAGGTACAATGGCACCTATTCAAATTAAAAATTCAAAATTTTTTTCCTTAAAGATTACAATTTTAAAATTTACAAAATTTGGTTGTTTGGGGTTTTTCATGTAGTTAAAAATGTTTACAAGTTACCCTAAAACGCCTAGCAGGGCTAGGAAATTTCGGGCAGACTTTTTTTAAAATTCTTTATTTAAAATTTACAAATTATGAGGAAAGTTGGTTTTATGGCTAATTTGCTAAATACTAGTTTGGAGTTGAAATGTGAAGCTTTTTTTTTGGCACAGTCATAGTTTCATTTGGGTATCATAGGATTCTTATTTTAAGTTTGAGTTTAATATTTTTTTTATGGTCAAATGGGTAGTGGTGAAAGTTGACCCCCGGGTGGTATTCGTTTTGTTAGTTGGGGGGGTTTATCAGGGGATAAAGTTTTCTAATGGTAGTTTTGAAGGTATGAATGTTCTTCAGTTCAGAGTTCTCGGGTAGGGTTTTCCGATTTTGGGGGCCTTTGAATCATTGATTTTTTGAAAAAGGTTTTAGTCGGACAGGGGGAATGTGTAGAGATGTTTGTGTCTGGTGTTATCCGTGGGTTCTGCCCAAAACTATAAGAAAGCGTTTGGGGTCAAGGTTTAAATTTTGGGGAGTTTAGGTCCTTAATGTAGTTTGCCAGTAGTAAGTGTGGATGTACTGAACAGGGAGAAGTTTAATCTAGAAGATGGGGGGGGGGTGTTGCCAGGGATGGGATTTAGTGATTATTCTTACTGCACTTTTTTTTGGGTTTTATGGTTTTGGGGGTTTTGCTAGTTGATCCCCAAGCACAAATAGATGGTGAGGTTGGATAATAAGTGAGTGGTATGTGTGAGAAGGGCTTTTTGGGCAGAAAAGGATCGACTTGGAGAGGACCCAACTGTTTTGGATACTTTTTTGGTTATGTGTTGGAAAAGGGGGTGCTAAAATTCAGGTTGTTGTAAAGGTATGGGCCTAAAAAATTTGCCCTCATTATGTCTGGTAATTAGAGTGTTGTCGATTTTAAATTTTAAATTTGTGCATCTCCCTGCTCTGCTACCAAACTAAATAGTAGGTTTTGTCGTGTTAAGGGTTTTGGCTGTCCACCCAATCGATATTTTGCAGCTCCTCGTTAACAATGGTGTTGAGGGTGGCCAAAATTAGGGTGAGAGATGAATAAATCGTGTCGCAGCAAAAAGAAAGGGTTTCAGGGTTGGGATACGTTTGGAAGTCATTGATGTATTAGGAAGAGCAGGGGACCCGGGCACTTCCCTGCGGGAAATCCCGTTCAAGTGGCCGTGTTTTTGTGGGTCTTTAATGGTAACAACTGATACTATTGTAGGGAAGATTTTAAATAAACAAGGCATGGGGGTCTTATCCGTAATGGTCAAGTTTGTGGGTAGGAGTCATGGGTTTCTGGTCAAAAAACTTTTTTTAGGTCAATAAAAATTCCTAGTGGATATTTTTTATTTTCCAATGTGTTAAAGCAGTCTAGCATTTTTATGTTGCACATTTTTGCTTTTATTTTTCCCAAAAACCAAATTGGCAGGGGTGAGTATGTTTTGGCTTTATAAATGAATATAGTTCCTGTGCACGGTTTCTCAAAAATTTTTGGGTAGCAATGGTAAGTTTATATTGGCCTTGTTTTTTAAGTCGAGGGTCACCACCTTTATTTATTGGGTAACCCTTTCCATTTTAGTGTTTGGGAAAGGGCTATTTTTAGAGACTTGTTAAAAAATAATGAAAAACATCGAAAGGATATGGGGGCCGCTTGTTTACAGTAAGGGGGACATTGACAGATTCCCTGAGTTGTTTTTAAGTGACTTTTTTAATCCGGTGACTTCCCAGGCTCGTTTGGGGCAAGATGAAGGAATTTGGGAAATTCCCATCAGGTATCCCCGGGATGGGCATTTTATGTGGGATTTTTTGGCGAGATTTTATCCCTTTGGGTTTAGAAGAAGTCATTTATCTTTTTACGTGTAGTGGGATGTAGTGGGGTTTATTGGTTTAGTTAGGCAAAATTCTTGTTTTTTTTTTAGTTTTGGGGCCTAAATCTGAGAGGTGTTTTTCCAGGGTTTTTTTATATTCTCTGGTCTGGAATCTATGGGTAGTATATTGTTTTTGGGTTTTTTTTATTACTTTGGTGGAATGATGAATATGTTTAAGAATATCTTTGTGTATTAAGCCCGGGCAATTGCTTTTTTATTGGTGTTTCTTTTCAATGGATTGCAAATGGTGCTGGTTTCCATGGGCAAAAAACGGTTGTTTGTGTCTGTTTTTTGTTTTTATAGGGCAATGTTTTTGTATGTCTAAGTAATTTGTTAAGAAAAATGTCTGTCCAGTCATCAATACCATTGGCCTTGGAGAATTCTGTAGGCCAGTCAACAATCTCTAGGTCAGTTGTGAACTTCCTTATTGAGGCC